ACAGATTTTTTATCAATTCCCGAAGTTCTCGAAATTGATATTAATACGGATGGCGCAAAATTACACAGAAGTGGAAAACATGACATTTGGCCAATTCAGTGCAGAATTGCTAATATTCCAAGATGTATTCCAGAAACTGTGGGGGTATATAAAGGTCCAAAAAAACCCAACAGTGCAGTAGAGTTTTTCCAGTATTGTAACTCAGATTTACATAAAATTTTTAGTGAGGGTGGTATCATCTTTAAAGATAGACAATTCTCAATAAAATTACGATGCTTCATCGCAGATGCGCCAGCTAGAGCATTTATTTTAGGGCATAAAAGTCATCGTTCTTCCTGTCCATGCTCAAAATGTACAATTAACGGGTTTGCTATTGGGAGATACATGGTACTTAGAGGTGTTGAGCATACACATCGCACAAATGAAGAGTACATGCAACAAATAGATGAAGAGCATCATAAATGTTCAAGTCCATTATGTTACTTACCCTTTGATATGGTCAACGATGTTGTCTTTGAATATATGCATTTATGTTGCCTAGGTGTAATGAAAAAATTAACTTTGACATGGGTACGTGGAACTTATACGAAAAACACTAAATTGTCAGGGACTCAAATCCAAATTATTTCAAATCGATTGAAGATTCTGTCGAACTACTGCCCACGAGAATTTGCACGCCGCGTTGTTTCGCTTGTTGACTGTGATCAATTCAAAGCCACCCAGTGGCGTCTAATTATATTATACATATGTTGGAATAGTATGTTTTAAAGATGTTCTTAAAGATTACATATATGATCATTTTTTACTTTTCCATACGTCCATGCGCGTTTTTGTATCGTCAGTATATAATACAAGTAGAAATCTTGTTTTTTCCGAAATGGCTATCAAAAGATTTGTGTTACTTTGTGAAGACATTTATGGATCAACTTTTTTATCATACAATATACATGGAATTCTACATTTAATCGAAGATGTACGCCGATTTGGCCCTTTAGATAGTTATTCGGCATTTCCATACGAAAACAATATGGTTTATTTCAGAAGAATGTGTAGAAAACCACATTTTTTCTTGCAGCAAATTGCTGCAAGACGTGTAGAACAAGAGCAGTGCAAAAAAATTCTTTTGTACAAAATAATTGTATTAAAGTCTGGAAAAAACACGAGCAAGGTCCACTACCTTATACTGAGGATAATTCTAGAACATATGACCAATATAAATTTTTAAAAACTCCGGATGTAACAATTGGTGTTTGTGTACGTGATGATTGTTGTATTTTATCAGACTTAAGTATATG